CTATATGCGGATTTGAGCAAAACACTGAAACGTTCTTTAGCATTTAGATCTTATCAGCTTAGTTTGCCATTAAAAGGCAAAACTCTGTACACAATCATGATTATCCATGGACGAAACAAGATGATGCAGTCATGCAAATGCCACAACTTATGTAGTTGCAGCAGACGTCGTGATGCAACTATATAAGGGCAGCATTTGTATATTTACACTGTACACTTATCACTTTGGTATCATCATATTTCATTGCAGAAACTGCTGTGCCCAGTGCATACTAGTCCACCATCAACTCACTAAATATGGTTTGTTCTTGTTTTTGCTAATCTGCTTGAGACTGCAAAGTAGGTACAGAATGTGGATTACAGGCTGTCTCTTTAGCTCTACAAGATGCAATTTGTGAAGGTCTAAGCAAGTGACCTCTGTCTTGAGATGTCAGGGGTGGGGGTGGGGTTGGTTTTTATGGGTTTTATCCTCACTCAGTGAAAATGAGTTGAGCAATCTTATAAAAATATAAATTTTCTTAAAAATAAAATAAATAAATACATTCTGCAAAACATTTTATATAGACATAGTATTTATATGCTATGGTCAAAGAGGGGTAAAAGACCCCCTTGACAACATTTCAGCAGCAATTTCTAAATATTAACAGAACTAGTCCCAGGTAATATGACTGTCCCAACGTAGATTAATTCTAGTATGGGCTGACTTACAAAGCAAGTTTTCTAATAGTTGGAAACATCCATTATTGGTTTTTCTTTCAAGGTAATACTCATACCTTATTTGATATGACATGTTTATTTATTTAAGAAAATCTATATGGCTGCCCAGCTGACTCTTAGTGACTCCAGGCTGCTTACAAAGATAAAAACCCCATATAAAAAAATAGCAATAAACCTCTACCCCACTGGTGACAGCACTCAATCTATCAATTCCCAGGCCCGTTGGCCAAATCAGGTCTTCAGGGTTTTGTGAAAGAATGTCAAAACAGGTCAATGTTCTTGGGGCTCTCTAAACTGGGTCATTTTCTTGCAGCGCACTGATGATGTTACCTAGTTTGAATAATGAAGTGTCTGCAAGAACACAAGAAAAGAAAGCAACCAAGTTCAGAGAACACCAAGGACCCCTCATTGCAACTCTAAGCTACAAATATCCTCCTTTATGGGTCAACGTTCCTCCACCAAAGGTACTGACATCCCATATAGTCCAATCCCAACTAGCAATTTAATCAATTATCAAGTGATTGGCAATGTCAGATTATACAATACTGAAATCTGTAGTTTGTACTTGTAATCTGAAGTTGGCTCACATGGTTAAGACACTGGGTTGACGATTAGCAAGCCCGCATTTGAGACCAAAGTGCTGGTGCGTGACGGGGTCAGCTCCCGTCATTCACTCCAGCTCCTACCAATCTAGCAATTCGAAAGAGTAGGTAGATAGGTACCACTTTGGTGGGCACATTAACAGGGGCATAAAAGGAGCTCCAACTGGGCGTCCGCTGGGCAACGGTGATGTTACCAGCTAATCCTTTCAACACGGAAATGCCTTGGTGCTTCTAACACAAATGTGAGCGACTTGTAATTTAAAAAATAAATCTTTAAAAAATTATTTTAGGTATATGTACCTATGTATACACATACGCACATTACTGAAAATGCAAATATATACCAAAAATGCAAATATATATCCATATTTCGATGTTTTTCAAATAGTAAGTGGTTGAATGAACAGTATCAAGTCATTTTGTGCTAGACTGCTGTAATGTAATAGTATTTAAACACTAATCACACTGGCACTGGTTGTCCAGGCCTTACCTTAAATGAGTCTGAAGAATAGCACTGAAATGTAATAGAGATCACATTACTTGATTAAAGCAAGTATCCTACAGTTGGCTTATTCTGAAAATTCTTCAAGAAAGAAAAACCGCGGAAAGCAATTCAATTGCTTTTCTTGTTCTCTTGTCACGATGCCACAAAAAACATGAGAATATCCAAACTAATATTTAGGACAGTGGTCTTTTATCAGTTTTATATTACAGAAATCAAATAATTTGTCTTTGAAAAATCTATATTGATTCCAATTTTAAATTAGAACGATAATGATAGCACTATCACTATTTATTCATCCATCCATCCAATCACAATAGTCTTGCTACAGTCATACATGAATAAGTTTCTAATGCTGAAATACTGTATTAATAATTGCAATATATATTTTGCATTTAAACCTGAATCACTCAAGTGTTTAAACTATTATAAATGTCTCTTCACATTCCTCAGAGATTTTATTTCAACAGCCTGAGTATCACCTTTCTCTTTCTTCTCAATGTTTTGTTACATCAAATGTTTCCATCTGCATGACAAAAAAATCCCTTAAATCAAACCCAATACCAGCCACAGATGGATTTTCCCCTTATCATTTCCTACTTATTTAGCAGATTAAAACTGAAAAGGAAATCATATACAAGTATGACAAACATACCATTATAAATAAAAACTAACTTTACAAATTTATCTGAACAAAGTTCTCATAGAAGAGTTCTTAATGACAAAACGTTAGAATTCATGTAATTTTTCACTATCATAACTTCCTAGAAACTAAACACAGAAACGGATCCTTGGGGAAGAATACACAGGAACAGAAATACAGTGAGCCAAGAAATATGACTCAAATCCAAATTAAATCTTCCATACTGACCAATTTAGATCAATGGAACTTACTACTTACAATCATAACAGATTTATAATATACATAACTCTGGATTCTATCCTAAAGATAGTTACCCAGCTAATAAAAAATAATTGATGAGGCAATCAAGTCATATGTGGACTGAAATTGATTAAGATATTTGTGGCTTATTTTTCCTTCATAAAAACATATGAAGATGCGCCTCAATTGCTACAAAGAGTATCAGGCCTTCATGGTAAATCAAACAAAATATTTTAAAATAACAATAAGGTATTTGAGCTTCAAGCTGTACATGAATTCAATTAATAGACATTTACAGCAGTATTTTGTTTAAAGAAATATAACATTTTTAAAGTATCCTTACAATTTTTCTTCTGAATTTTAGTCTTTTCTCAGAAAAGAAGCCAAAGTATATATACTATTGTACAAAAACATTTTTATCACTAAGGGAGGAACCTTCTTCTCTCCAAACCTAGAGATCTCCCCTTCTATTCTGCCTCTTCTGAATCTAAGCAAGCAACAGTAAGATCTACTCTTAGTCTCTTGCTATCATTCACATGTGATTTAATCATTCTCTGGCAATGTTATTGTTTTGCCGTGGTAGCAGACTCTAATGATAGGCACACAGGCAGAGTACATAAAAGGACAGAACTGTTTATTTTCCAAATATGATTTCTGATGCACTTTTGTATTTCCCCAAAGCCAATCTGATCACTTGAGTTGCTTACTCTGTTCTTGTAAGCTGAGCATCCATGGGTGATGCTCAGAGCCCATGACTGCCTCAGATTACACACACACATACACAGACACACACAAATTGGCATTTGCCCAGAATGGCTCAATAGCCTTGTTCTCAGTCTTGTACTTGAACAGAATAGAAACAGGAAGAATCTGTGATTTGTGTCAGATACAGGGTAGCAGCAACCATACTATGATAATGAAGCCAGAGAAAGTGTGATTAAGTTTTCATGCATGAGTTGCAACTATTATTTAAATTTAAAAGAAAGAAATCATTTTTCAATTGGCTGTGAAATCTAAATAATTTTAGGCAGACAACAATAGGCCTGGGGTTAATGTTTGTGTGTATGGTGCTAGCATGTCTCTATTACTGTGGTTGTTTTTAGTTAGGGCTCTGGTTTTGTTTATGGTTTTAACTGTTTTTACTAAGTATTATGTTTTGTAAACTACCCAAAACTTACTGAAGAGTGGGGGGGGGGGGGTACAATGAACTTAACGAAATAAGGAAAATAAGTAAAAAATGCAGGTAGATGAAGGATGGATCTCACATGTCCATGTAAACACACAGCTATTTCTCTTCTCTGTTCCCCAACTCCCTTCTTTGTAAGAGATTTCACATTCAAAATATATCTGCCAGCATTAACAAATATGCAGCTTCACATTTAAATGAAAATAACAAAGAAAAGGAGCCAATAATTATCTCTAGTCATGTATATGCCTAGTTAGCTGTGTTGTGATTGTTGCTGGCCATTATTAATTTCTGAGTGATTCATTAGGAGTTTCCTGAATTAAAGGATCCAAAAATTTGGTCAAGAGCTTCCCACCTAGCTGGGGGTATAAGAGGTCTCATCTCCCTCCTTGCTAAAATCTATAAGATAAAAGACAAAGGTTCTTCATGCCTTAAGCATCTGAAGCAGAGAAATACATACTGGGGGCAGGATGGTGGGAGTCAGAGAATTCCCCCTCCCCAATACACACATGCATGCGCACACACACACAAAATATTGTACCAGAATATTCATAGTAACTAAGATGGTAAATACTTCTAAATTTTTGCAAGTGAAAAATGAGTATGTAGTTGGCTCTAGTTATGATAACCCCATCCTCCATCCCATCACTTGAAATCTCATGGTTCTGTAAAAATCATCTGATTGTTAATAAAGTATATACTTTAATGTTTAGTGGAGTTCAGGTCTAATTAAATATATGTAGGATTGCAATCTAAAATGTACATCATCTGAGACAAAGATGAAGAAACTTATTCTCAGTTTACAGATTTTTTCTTTCTTTCTGTGTGCCCATGTACATACAAGCAGTGAAATCAAAAGATCAGAAAATCTAGAAAACACAGCCTGTGTCACAACTATGCAAGAATCTAATGGATAGAAATCTAGGCAATAATACAGCTATTACTGTACAGTTCAAAACACTTTTGTATTTCTTAATAAATATATGTAAATCACTCATCTGGGATATTTTTATCAATAAATAAAAAACAACAACAGGAAAGATCTGTGTCCATACCATTTACATCAGTTTTTTTAAAAAGGCATATTTATACAATGAAAGCTTTACGTTACCTTTCTGGACATGGATTATGTCTGGGAAGTTGGCCAGATGTCCCTGATACAGAGCTAATAAATCCATCACTGGGTCCAGGTCCTGTCTGGGTTGGTCTGCAAAGAGTTCACCAATAGCATCATAAGCTTCCCCGGTGAAGGCAATGGCCTGATTGAGGCCAACTGAAAAAGCCTGTTGGTCCATTTCAAAGGCTTGGCTGAGGCCCCTGAAGGAGTGTCCCACTTTCTGGTACTCCTTCTTGAACCCAGCAACCTGCTTGCGGGCAAACTCATTGATAGTCTGGTTCAACTGAATGGTGCTGTCATCCATCTTTTTGGTGAAGCTTTTGAAGCCATCGACTTTACTTTCTACCTCCTGCAGGTCCAGAGCAGCAGGGACACCAGCAGGGACACTAATGGTCAGGAAGAAGTTAGCACCCACCATCTCATCCTTCTCAGCTTTGCGCTTGCCTTGCTTCCAGGCCTTCTCATCGGTGCTCGGACAAGTGAGGAAATGCTGGAAGGCATCACACTGGGCCAACACCGGATGGCTACACATATGGTCCATCCACCACGCTAAGCCCTTGCGGCGCTTGGAGATAAAGTCCTCCTCAAAACGCCCCGTGGCTTGTTTCTCTGGCAAGTGGGGTACCGAGATGACCGGGAACTTCTCGACAAGCCGGCCATACAGCCAATCAAAGTGCTTGTAGCGCCGATGCACCTGCTGTCCTGTGTGGCTTGGCACCAGCTTGTAGGCAATGTAGCTCTTCATGCCCTTGAATTTGGTCTGCTTGGTGGGGTCTTCAATAGAGCACTGGAAAGGGTAAGGGTTCTCCTGCCACTCGGGCCCATAGGAGCCCAGAACTACGCAGAGCTTGTCCCCGTCCTTCACAAAGCCCGACGCTTCCCCCAGCACAAACGCTTCGCCTCCGGATTTCACGAAGGTGGAGAAGCGGTTCAAGTTGCGGCTCACGGTGGCCGAGCTCTTGGCGCCCCCGGCCGGGTGATGCAAGGGGCCCCCGGGCTGGCTGCTCCGGGAGCTCAGCGACAGATCGGACCGGGTGGAAAGGGAATACCTGCTGGCAGAGCCGCCCGCCCCGCCGCCGCCTCCCATCGCCGCATTCTCGTAGTCCGGGTAGGAGCAGCCCAGGACGCCCGGCTCGTCCGCCACGGTAGAGCTGTCGTCCCAGTCATCGTCCCAGTCGTCGTCGCTGCCTTGGCTGGCTTGGTAAGAAGAGCCGCCGTAGGAGCGCACCGTCTGGAAGGAGGAGAAGCCCGATGAGGCGGGCGGCGGAGGCAGCTGGAAGGGCTCGGCTGCCGGCGGAGGCAGCTGGTGATGCTGGACGGGCGGGGGGTTGAAGGCGGGGGCCGCCGCCGCCGGCGCCGCCAGGGGCTCAAAGCCGCCGGACGGCACGTTCGCGTAGCGGGCCGGGACAGGCGCGGGCAGCGGGAGCGCCGGCTCGGCCGCCGGAGCTCGGATGACCTGCACGTAAGAGGCCGGGAAGAGGCCGCGGTCGCCGCGGCTGTTCACCCCCTCGAACCAGCCCTCGATCTCCTGGTCGCTGCACAGGCTCAGCACCTCGTGTTCGCGCAGCGAGATCTCGCCCGGGTTCTCCGACCTGAAGTCGTACAGCGCGCGGGCCCGCAGCAAAGCCATGACCCCGCCGCCGCCGCCCGCTCTGGTCGCCGCCCAGGCAGGGATGGAAGCCGAAGGGCCGCCGAACAGGCGCAGCTCGCGCCCCCCGCCGGCCGGCCGGCCGCGCTGCCCGCCCCTGCGGCGAGCCAACGGCCGGTCCGCCTCCCTCTCCCGGCGCGCCTCCTCCGCTTCACCCCGCGCGCCCCTTCCTCTCCGCTGCTCCCCGGGGAGGACGCTTGGAGGGGGGGAGGCGGGAAAGGCAGCCCTCTCCTCCGGCAGTCGCGCTCCCCAACCGAGCGCCGGAGTCCCGCTTGGAAGCGCCCAGGGAAGGGGCCGGGCCGGGGGGACTGTCCCACGTCGCCAGTTTCACTAATCCAGAGCCGAGAGCAAGGGCTGGGAAGCCGAGCCCAGAGCTGCCGCCCCTATCGATGGGGCCAGAGCGGCGGGCCGATGCTTTGGGTTGCCTTCGCGGTGCGCCGCCTGCCCTCTGGCGTTCGGCGTGGGAGGGACGCCGCCTCGGAGCGAGGGAGAAGCCGGCCAGCAGCTGAAACGGCCTCAGGCGCTGTAAAAGGGCCTCTGACTCAGGGGACCCGTAAGCTGAGGTTGAGTCAGGACCCTTCGACGGGAAGCCCTCAATAGTGATTCAACTCGAGTCAGGCGCACTAGAGTTTTCTTGCCAATCATCTTGTATAAATCCGGGATGTTTTTTGATCAGTCTAGACCAGGGGTAGGCAACCTTGGCTCTTTTATGATTCATGGACTTCAACTCCCAGAATTCCTGAGCCAGCGTAGCTGGCTCAGGAATTCTGGGAGTTGAAGTCCATGAATCATAAAAGAGCCAAGGTTGCCTACCCCTGCTCTAGAGCCCTGATATTATCTGGTGTTCTCCCATCCAAATATTAAGTAGGAGCCTCTGACTCCGCTGAGCTTTTTCAAATGCGGAAGATTTATCGGAGCACTATTGTTGGTGGCATCAAAGGCATATCTCCCTGTTTGTTTTCTCGGCAACATAAGGCAGTTTTCTTTGCATTCTGGAATGTTTTTCACAATCTTGATTAAGGATCCCTCTTAAAATACTAATTGAGTCCAACCCTGCTTGGCTTTTTAAGATCATCCAAGTCTAGAGACAGGTTATACATAAAAGACTAAACATTCCTGGGAGTGATAGCAAGTAGGGAAATCAGAGGAGAAATCAAATTGGGGATAAAGAAAGAAATTAAACCCACAATATACTTCAATGTATAATGATTTAAATCAAGATTTATGATTTAAACTATAAAACATTTAAAAATTAGCTTAAATTGTACATTAATTTAAACTGACATATATTTTAATACCTTATGGATATACCCTCCCTTCTTCAATTTGATTTGGGTAAAATTCTTTTAATGGAATGGTTTTTTTTAACATTAATTCCCTTTTGCCTTTTGCCCAACGTATAAGTACACATGGAAATACTGATGATCAACTTTAAATATATTTTATATCTTAGAAGGTGTAGATTAGGTAAATTGTGAATTGAATTATTTTTTTCTGTTCTTAGACAGAAATGAATATGAGGCATTCACATTTAATTTTACAGCTGAAAGTTGCTCTTTTAGGATTGGCCTAACATAATACACAGGTACTCATAATCAGCTACCTAGTTTTAGGTAACCCGATCCTAGTTTTAGGTAAGATATGATGACAAATCACCACCATCACATTTTTCTGGCCCTTGTATAAGGTTGGTGCAGGACCTGAAACCTGGTTGGGCAAATTTCTGAGAGGGCAACTTTCCTTCAACTGGGTCTCAGTGATACACACCTTAAACAGATGGACATAGTCTTATTATAGACAGCCAGACAGGCATTAAGTAGCTTTAATTGAGGGCCAACACCCAGTGATCTGGATTGGGTCAGAAAAATGAGTCACAACCAACTGAAATCTTCTCTTCCCCTTAGAATAGCTACTTCCCTGGCTCAATAAAACAAGGGTATTGCAGCCATGTTCCTCTCCAATCCACTCCTGAACCCAACCCCACCTAATGTGGGTAGTGGAGACCCATGACTTGCCTGCCCCAAGCTTCTGCCTCTACTCAGCCATGTAGGGGCTACTCGTACTCACTCATAGAGTGAAAGAATGTCCCCCATCTCCCTCAAACCAGATCCACCAAAACCAAACTTATTTAAATTACCACACCATGCAGGATCTATACCAAGGAAGATATAATGCTCATAGACATTCTCACTATCTATGGACACTGCATCCCCTCCTTATCCAACATTCTCACTATTGGCCAGGCCATCCTAAATTATATAAAGATAGCATTCCAAAATATTATGTAATGATTTTCTTCAACACCATAATTTAAGAGCATTGATTTTTCTTCATTCAGCCTTTATGGGGATTCATCTTCCATAGCTATGTATTACAATTAGAAGAATTACAGTGTGTACATTTTGTTGTCAGCATAATATCTCTACTTACTAAGATTTTGCCTGGCTTTGTCATAATAAGTTTATCCCAAGAAGCAGATATTTCTCTATTTCACAGTTTTAGTCACGTCTGCCTTTTTCAGCCCAGGAAGATAAAGATCTATTATTACTTTCATTATTTTTTCATCTATTTGCATCAGGTTGCATTACAATTGACATAATTTTAGTTTCTTTTAATATTAAACTTCAGACCAATCATCAAGAAATTCTTTAATCTTCCTTCATTATGGTTTTATTAGCCTGAGATTAATATTTTTCCAGGATTTGTAATTCTTATTTTTGTTTATTTTAGTCCAGCATTTCTCAAGATATGTTCTGCATATAGACTAAACAGAAAGAGTAAGCATATTGTATATAACTTTGGCATTCTTCCTATTTTTGGACCAATGAGTTAATCCATGTGCTGTTCTGACTATTGCTTCCTAGTTAATATAAATTCCTTAGGATGCAGATGAGGGGGCCACAATTTGATTTATTTCTCTCTCACCAACATCCTTAATATGTTCAATAATGCAAAAACAAATTTATTTCTGGAACTTACATTTTCCATTATCCACCAGATGTTTTGTGCCTCTGCTGCTTCTGAAATCAGCTTAAACTTGTGCTAGGTCGGTGGTGGCGAACCTATGGCACGCGTGCCAAAGGCGGCACTCAGAGCCCTCTCTGTGGGCATGTGCGCCATGCCCCAGAGATGGCAACCGTCCCTTTTCAACCAACCACCCACTAACTCACTGAGGTCCCATGTGGCTGGATGCATCCCAGCACGGCTGGTTTCCCTCCCCCCCGTCCCATCCCTCGTGGCCTTGCATGCTCTCCTTTTCCCACTGCATCGCCTCCTCAGCTGTCGGCAGGCCATCCAGCTCAGAAGCGGCTTCTCTGAACTGCTGGTGGTGGGCAGCGGAGCCCCAGAGTGCACCAGTCAAGGGGGCAGCAGGCTGTGGCTGCTGACGGACAGTCAGCCCCCATGCGGTTGCTGGCCTCTGTGTGCGGGAGCTGATGGTGTCAGGCAGCAGCCTCCCCGGCCCCTGCCTCACCTTGCCCTGTGACAATGGCACCCCTGCCCCGCCCTGCCTCATCCCGCAGAATGAGCCTCCTGCCAGAGACCCCCTGGATCTCCCCCAACCCTACCCGGCCCCCACAGGCGTCCCTCCCCATGTCCAACATCGAGGTGACCACGCCCACCTTGGCCACACCCACCCAGTCTGCAATGACCACCACAGCCACGCCCACCCAGTGGGCCACACCCACCTGGCACCCGGCGATAAATAAGTGGGTTTTGGGTTGCAGTTTGGGCACTCAGTCTCTAAAAGGTTCACCATCACTGTGCTAGGTTCTCTTCCATTTATTCTTGAAATCTGGATTGGAAAATCTTAACCATGTTCTTACTAACATGAGATAAGCACAACTGTTCAGTAGTTTCAGCATTGTTTAGTACTGTCTTTTTTGTACTGGAATATAGCCTTCTCTTTTCCAGTTATTTGGCCACTGATGTATTTTCTCTGCCTGCTTACAAACTATGAGCGGCATGTCAACAGCATCGTGTAGTATGGTTTCCAACAGTTCTGCTATGCCACCAATGGTTTCCAACAGTTCTGCTATGCTTGCAGAATTGTTATTAGCAAAATTTTAGGGCCCTTTAAATTTAATTTTCCAAGAAATGCAGTGTTCCAGCTTGCTGGTTCTATCTCTGCATGTAGAAATGATGCAAGGGTCCTTTTTGTATAGTTCTCCCATCCATGCCATCTCATCTTTTTATCTCCTTTATTGACTGGATCTTTGTTTGGCCTCAAGTATCCTCTGCCCCATTATCACACAATAAGAAATACATCCTTATTTTTAGCATGGATTATATATGCCCCTTCCTATCAATATGTATCTTTTACACACATTTCTAAGATTCACTAAATTAAGTCATTTTCTTGAATATAAGATTTTTATACAGATTTCAAAGACTTGACTACAGAATTTGAAAAAAGAAATGTTAAAGGAAAACTTGTTTTGACTCAAATACTACTTTGAGAAATGCAAACAATATTGTTTCTAATTTACTCTAGCAATAAATATACTCATGTATGATTTGCAGTATTGAATTAATACTTTTTAACCTCTTATTTGACTGACTTATGACCTGATAGCTGTAGTAAAGATTTGATTGATTGTCTCATTTTAGCACAATTTTTCCCTCAAGGTAATGGAAGTTTGTAGCTTGGCTGGGGAGTTTCTGGACCTTTGCAAAAATATTTGTTTCCATTCTGCTTTGCAGCAATTCTCTCTTCTTCAGAACTGTTGCCAGTTTTGTTGAATCCCTTGCTTTCACCACTTATAATTCCTTTGGTAATTGTTTTTAATGTTTTTGTCACTATGCTGCAAAAACTTTTCATTTATTTTTAAATTACTTTTTATCTAGTTCCTAGCCTATCAGTGTGCCTTGTCACTTTAGCAACTCATGTAATGCCACTAGGTGGTGTCAGAAGGTTTCATAAAATTAGAATACAGCATAAAGTTAAATCCATAGAAAATCTTGCTATGTAAGACAGTTGTTAAGTAGGTTTTGCCCCATTTTATGACCTTTCTTGTCACAGTTGTTAAATGAATCATTGTTAAGTTAGTAAATGTTGTTAAAAAGTTGTTAAGTTAGTAAATAGTTGTTAATTGACTTTGCTTGCCAGGTCGCAAAAGGTAATTACATGACCCCAGGACACTGCAACCATCATAAATACATGCCAGTTGCCAAGCACCATATGCTGCAATGGTCATAAGTGTGAAAAACATTCATAAGCCACTTTTTTTCAATACTGTTATATCTTCAAACAGTCACTAAGCGAACGTTTGTAAGTCAAGGACTACCTGTACAATAATATCTACTGTGACATTATACTGCATTGGAAGCAGAATCAGCAAACAAGGGGAAATAATATTTGTTGCTCAAGAAGTTAATAAATGGTATGTTTTCAAATCAAAACCAGCTTGGGGATCAGGGAAACATGGAACACTTGATTATGTAGGATGAAGTTAAACTTTCTCATAAAGTTTATAAAGTTTCTCTTTTATTTATTTGTATTGTATGTTGCCTGTTTAAGAGATTAGAGGCAGATCTATTCCAAGCAATAAAAACCATAAAAGCATATCAGAACACTGAATATACATTACATGATCATCTAATTTTAATTCTCCTTAATTGAATGGTTTGAATAAGATAACAAATAAGGAACAAACAGGAATTTAAGACATCAGATACAACAATATTAGTATAGTTATATAAACATTTCTACAATACAGTTTTTGAACAATTTAATGGACCTTGACCACAGGAATCATATTGTCCAATCCTTTTTAACACTGTTCAAGAACCAGTTCAAAGGCTGAGAGTTGGCACATTTTTAAGCCAATGTTTGGCATCTAGTATACTAGCATTTTTCCAAGAACACATGATGACTGTTTTGGGAATAGTCTAAGTACATTAAATAGAAAGTTCATAGACAGACAAATTCCAAATTTGTGGAATATAATTTACCAACATATCAACATCTTTAAATCAGAACTTCCTACCAAGTACCTAATTTACAATAGTAGGAATATTCAGCTGAAAAGTAACTATCAAAAGTAGGAATATTAATGCAAAAATCTATTGCATCTCCAGCATAAGAAGATGGGCAATCAATGTTTTAACAAACTGTTGAATTCCTTAGAACTGAACATTTTTGATGAATTAAATTCATTCTAATGTGGTAAGATGTATTTATCTTTTTTGAATCTTCAGATCATTGCATTTGTAAAATAAGGAATTGCAATTCACTGTTCAATTTTTGTTGCATGCAGTATTATCCATATATATATATAATAACATTTTGCAATTGTGAATAAAACTGAATTATCATTTAAATGAATTGTAGCAATTACTGGCAAATTATATGTATATCCTTTCAAAAGTTTTAAATGTATCAGCAATTTAGCTCAGGGGTGTCAAACTGTCAGTCCGCAGGCTGGATGCATCATCCGGAAGCTACGGCCACCCCATTGCTGGCAATGGCAAAACCGTCTTGATATGTTGCGCGACATCACATGACGTCTCGAGTTTGACATGTCTGATTTAGCTGTTTAGAGTTTATTATCCATTTTTACCCCTCCTCTTTTGCTTTTTTTTTTTAAGGTTGCCATTTTAAAATAAAGGTTAGTTTTTTGTGAAAGCAGGAATCAGATTTTAATTGTATCTTATCTGATATCATCGAATATGCCTAACCAGCTGCAGTGTTATAAATACAATAGGGTTCCGACTACAAAGTACTTTCCAAGATTTCAAAAGGGTCAAATAAAAGCTTATCCGATTGGATCTATGATAGTATATAATAACTATATTTTCTTTTCCAATACAAAAAAAGACCAGAAACATATTCCGAATAATATAATTTTAAATCAATAAAATTAAAGCCTGCATTTTCATGTAGAAGTTGGTTACTTTGAAAGAAAGAAGTTTAGAATTTAATTATTTCACCATTAATCAGGGTTTTACAATTTGCAATATTCAAAATATAAAGAAAATGATCCTTGTAAGAGTAATTATTCCTAAATACATATTTAATAAAATCTGAACAAATCCCATGTTTATTCATTTTCAAGGAAAATTTGTTCTTGGTTGGCAAAATCTGAGATGTTATTCCAAATTATTGTATGGCCAGAATATTTAGCTGCTGATAGATCTGCACAAGTCTAAAAAGAGAGCTTTGATAACTGTTCAGAAGGCTCCAGATACAATCTTGCCAACTTTTGACAAGGATGATGCGCCAAAATGCAGTTTATTTCCCTCACCATTTTCAGCTGTCAAAACAATACTTGGGGGCTGTTTTTGAAGAATGCTAGTAAGTAGAAATACTAATTATATTGTTCTCTATTGATTCTGATATTTTGGGCAGATGTCGTAAAAATTTAGAAGCAGTCTCTTTCTTCTTCCCTTTCTGTTTCTTCTTCCATGGCAAAGAGACCCCCAGGGCAGCTCCTTCTCCTTCTGTGGTTCTGAAGAAACCATAATTATATTTGGACTAAGGACTTTTCACAGAAAATGTTTGCCGACCCCTGTGTAGATTGGGAGGGAAAAAAAGGAAATATAACATTAAGAAAAATTGAAAGAGAAAGCTAAGAATGGGGCAAATGGAAATTTTGTTAATCGCTCAAGACTAAACAAGATAGGAAGAGCTGGTGCCTGCCAAGATGCTCTGGAACAAATTCAAATCATGTATGTGGGAGAAGAGAATTCGCATTGCCAATTTCCTTATTTGGAATATAAACAAGCTTTAGCAGATGTCATAGAAAAATGCTTTCAGGGATTGTTTCAATTAAACAGGGTACACTGGAATGATGTAGTCTATGAGATGCTTCAAGATAGAAATCTTTACAGTTTTCCAAATCTTTTGTTTAATTTTTTTTTGCAAGTCTGATCATGACACAGCATTACAAGCAAAGAGGAATGCAAATTTTTATTTGGAGTATGAGGCAAATCTTAACCTATTTCCAGATTTGTCCTCAGGGTTATAAAAATGCAAAAGTTTCACCAAGCATGCCTCATAACTAGGCAAAATTGAATGAAAACTTTTGTGATCCAACTTGCAATTTTTAGCTTATCTCACCACAGGGCTGGCTCTGGGCTGGCTCCAGACTCGGGTCACCAAAACTGAAAAGACTTCAAAACAACAACAACAACAATAAAAAAGCTAAAAGCAGTAACAGTACACATCTGATGAAGAGTTAAATACAATTCTGTAAAATTGCTGTCATGTAACAAATGAGTGGTGATTTAATTAAAAAAAAAAACCCTGCTGTTCAATCCTGTCTGAATCTTGGAGATTCCTTGCACAAGTCTGTGCAGTTTTCTTGGCAAGATTTCAGAAATGGTTTGATATTGCCTTCTTCCTAGATCAGAGAGAAAGTGACTGGCCCAAGATCACCCAGATGGATTTGTGTCTAAGGTGGGGGGGGGGGGAGTCACAGTATCCTGGTTTCTAGGCTGATGCCTTAACCACTACATCAAACTGGCTGTCATAATTAAAATAACTTACAGATAAATAGGATGAAGTGCATATAGTGCATATCATTGTTTTGGAGATTATATTCAAAGTCAGTTTGATCAAATTTCTGAATCAAATTAACCTTCTGAATCAATTTGGAGACTGTTTAATTTTCTGAACTGAGATAAGTGGTTGAATAGGACTGAATTGACTGCTGATATGGAAGTAATTTTTTGAAGTGATGATATAAAAAAATCACCTACTGTACTTAAATAGGATTGGAGCTGATTTCCTTATTCATAATAAACATGTTTTTCTCTGTATGGTTTGAACTGGTATTTCACTGTTCATAAAGTTTGCATTTTTAACAAAGGTAATAATAGATGCAAGGTGAGCTTTGCCAAAAGAGAATATTAACATTTCAGATCAAGAAATAATCTTGTATTTATAGAGTGGTTTTTGTGAATTCAATAACTTATACAAATCTGCTTTTAATTTATTTAATGAAATGTGGATTTTATTTATGCCCAAAACAGTTGAAGAAATTTAACATGCAGCTTCAAAAGTATATTTCTGTATCGCATTATGCCATATGGTCACTTGGTTACTTCTTGTTTGGATATTGGAATGCAATTTACTTGGGGCTGTCCCTGAAAACTACATGGAAGCTGCAGCTAGTTCAGAATGGGCAATTATGGGCAAACCATCATAACATTTGTGTTCTGCTACTTCTGAATGCAAATCAGGGTACTGATTATTACTCTGAGGTCTCTGGTTTCCGAAATATCATGAGTCACTGTGGAGAAGGGGATCTTAATAAATTTGGTAAAGAAATGCATATCATGCAGTGACATGGTACTATAACATGATCTCACTTTGTTCATAAACAGTATTAGTAGCTTTTTGCATGTCTCTTATATCTCTGTATCTTAACAGATTACTACCTTGTCACAGGTAGTAGTTATACTTTCAAATATTCTTTTAAAATATTTTGAGATCAGTCCTATAATAGTTATTTTATGAGGTTGTAACAAATTATAGAAATAATCACAATGTATAACAAACAGAATACAGAAATATCAGCAAAACATTAGACATAATGAAATCAGAAGAAAAATATAACTATAAATAATACAATATGTTTCTTGTTTTGTCAGAGTCTTAGAAGCTGGACATCCTTGTAAACAAATACATCATTTAATTACAAAAGCATTGCTGACTATGTAGCAGTTTTGCCCTTGACAAAATTCAGAAATATAAGCCTAATATTTCTAAACATAAATTCTGCATCATTTTTCCAACAATATTATATCTGTTATAATAAATAATATTTATTAGCAGATTATAGGTCTATGTGTGTCCAAGTAGCCATATATTATTTTTAAAAGCAGATTTAGAAACAAAGCATTTAAAGATGCTATTAATATAAAGGAGGTGATGATGATGATGAGCTATTTTCCATTTTGTCTTGGTGTTGTTTTTATTCAACACACCAGTGTCATTTCTTTTCTTATGTGGTATCCTACAATCTAAATACATAGCTGTCATCCTAAGTGCACAACTAGAACATCATCTGTAAGTAAGTAAAGTGGAGAAGGTATACAAGCCCAACCAATGATACATATTTGGTAAAAGATATACCCATTTCAACATCATTCCATTGAAATATAAATCATGGAAGTACTAAGTGGAAACTGTGGGAGGACTTTAATGAAGAATCAGTCAGCCCTGTATCCATACTGATCATCCCTAAGAGAAGGAACTGTGGATTTCAGGGGCTCTTAAAGTTTTTTTTCCTTTTCACTCTCCCAAAAGATCATCTAACAGAAACCATAGCCGGTGTTAGTGGAACTCTTTGATCAGTATTTCTAGATCAAGACTTGGTCTTTTAAAAATATTTTAAAACATAGATAAATCAACAGCGACTTTGTTCTTTCTTTCAGAGTCTTCAAATATGCCTCTAATAAAAGCCTGTATTTAGCTTGGATCTTTTTCTGAATTCTTTGACTATACTTAGAATGGCAATAATACTGGTACTTATCATAACTATGCTTGGAAAAAGGCAGTCACATTTAAACAGCTGTTATCTACCAAAATCAGAATACTCAAGTATTCAAAGAAACACATACAAAAAATATTTTGGGGAAACAATAATTCTTTGTTGAATTGTTACATGCAATAAATAATGTATTTGCATATATTTGGGACTGTTTAGCATTATTTAGATTGGTAGCCTTGTCTCTTCAGGAGTATGAACTGCTTTGCAGCAAAACTTATACAGCAGACCATTTAATTAACCTTTTCCTTCAGTATAAAGCTTTGAGACCTTAAATGCAGCCTTCCATTTTCATTCGCTGTTGTAGATCTATATGTTATTTTATATCTGCCGTGTTTCCTTTTAAGCTCTATTCTGTCAAATTGTTAAGAAAGTCTGCATGCAGTTGTAAGGAGAAAAATATTGTCTCTCACGTCACGCAAACAAGCTCATCAAATGGGTTTTTTTCAACAAACTGAATAAAAGTATGTGAAAGCTTGCTTTAACTCCAAATATGCATGCTCAACATTAGAAGGAGGAATAAGATTGTCTCACCAGTAACAAAACGGTCAAGAATTTATTTACTGCCAAATGTCTTAGTTTCAATGACTAAAATGCCATCGTGACAGAAGAGAGCATTCAGATCTTTCATTTCAATGCCATCTGGCAATTTATATTGCCTAGTGAAGCTTCTTGCTATAAAGCCCTGTTCATCCATCCTGGGTCCATGCTGAGCTTTGATTAGGAGCCACCCTTCGAAGACTTGTATTATGACATCTTCAGGACGAAACTGCACTACATCTAGTAAGACTTGAAAATTGGGGGTTGCTTCATCTGTGCTTTTCTGCTCCGTTTCAGCCGCACTCTTGGATGCTTGTATGTTCCTTATCTTTGCGGGCCCTGCTGGACTTGGCAATGCAAACAAGGAGTGGTTTAATTTCCAGGCTTCCAAATCTTGATCAGGAAAGTGCTCCTGATATCGTATTGGAGTTTCCACCCGGTGACGTATAACAACTTTTTCCATTGATGAGATAGTGCTGATAATCTCTTTGAACACAACGGAATCCTGAGATAATACCTTCTTTCTAGCTGTTTCTCCTCTTGCCTACTAGTTGATCAGCTGAAGCAGCTTCATATTTTTAGCTCTGTCAGAGCTTATCATTTGCTGGGTGTGACTAAAAACCCTGCCATACACTACATCTTTGGAAATGTTGACAATTGAGTGCTAATTATAGAAGCTGTAGCTGTTGCAGAGGTTTTTTATTTTCAGTTGATATCATTCATGTTATATTACTGTTGTTGTTACAGAGATACATAATTATACTACCTTTTTCCCTAGACATTCCATGTAAATAGAGCCAATTTGGTCTAGTGGTTAAGGCAGCAGGCTAGAAACCAGGATACTGGGAGTTCTAGTCCTACCTTAGACATGAAAGCTGACTGGATGACTTTGGGCCACTTTCTCTCAGCCCAACCCATATCATAAGTTTATTGTTTTAGGGGAAATGGTAGGAAGAATGAGTATTAGGTACATTTGCTGTCTTGATTTATTTATAAAACTAATAAAGACAGGATAAAAAAATCTTTTAAAAATCCCCTCCCCCCAAATTCTGTTTTGTGGGTAGTTTGGACTTAGGGTTAATGACTGGCCAAAAATCATCCGGAAACGTTTACAATTTTGTATTGACTTGAAGCTGTTTCTGCTCAGACATAATATAAGATTTTTACTGCTTGTGGTATGTTGCATAATATAGTAAATTCAAAAAGAAAATTTTGTTGAGTGGTCATGATAAAATTATTGCTTAGTGCTTAGTGTATTGCTATAGCCTTTGAAAGATGGCGAAGTAACTTGTAAAGAATAATACAATGAAGTTGAGCAGACTTAAAAAACATATTCATAAAATCATAGGGTTGAAAGCACCTTGGAGGTTTCTTGTTCAACTTCTTATTCAAAAAAGGAATCTCCAGATCAACCCAGACAAATAGCTGTCCTACCTTTGTTTAAAAATCTCCAGTGATGAAACACTCAAGACTCTAGGAGGTGGGCTGTTCTACTCTTTAGTAGTGTTCATGGTGAAAAAATTACTCATTTTGAATTTGGATCTCTCTCTGTAAAGCTTCAACCTATTAATTCTTAGACTACCCGAGGCATGGTGAATAAATCCATACTCCTCTCTGTGACAACTCCTCAAGTATTGGAAGACAATGATGATGTTTCCCTTTGAAGACAACTCTTCTTTGGCTAAACATACACAATGATCCTTTTAACCACTCTTCATAAAATTTAGCTTCCAAGCCTCTCATCATCTTTGCTGCTCTTCTCTGTTCCTCTCTTCCAATTCCTCAAGTATCCTTGTATTTTGTATTATTCATAAGAAACACTTTAGGCATCATGCAAATAAAAATGCAGTACTACTCTGCTACTTGTTTACGTAGCTTCATTTCTTGGTGGCTTGTATGAGAACCTGAAAGAAATGTGCTTAGGCTTTACAAAACCTATGAATGCTACTGTTAAAGCATTGGTACCATTCTCCCAGATAATTATGGAAGCCTATCAAAAGCTAGGTTAATGCATAGCAGAGACCTGCTGTTCTTGTGTGAAGTATGTAGCAATTCTAAGTCATTTTTGAAATCTCCACAACCATAACAAAGAATGTTTGGGATATTTATTTGAATTTATAATGTATACATTAGGATGTACTGCATATACCAGGCTTCGCAAGAAGCTCAGCTGTTAATCTCATTTTTCCAAACATAATCCTTTATTCAGAAACTAGCTGTATCCGGCCACGCGTTGCTGTGGCTCAGTCTGGTTAAATGGAAAAGAAAGAAAAGAGAAAGCGCACGTTTCTAATATGTTTAATTTCACAATGCTTGTGGGTATACAATATTTTTTGTTGTTCCATTGTCTGTGCAGATGTAGAGATTGTCTGGTTTGCTTACGTCCAACAGATGGCTCTGTTTTTTTTAAAAAAAGCATGTTTTTACCTGTCACAGGTGTGACATCTATATAATAGTAGGTATATAATAGTAGGTATATTCGAATGCAATGTTGTGTCAAAATTTCAAAGCAATCGGTGAAGAATTTTCGAAGATTTAAGATTTTGAACAAACGAACATTTACATTTTTATTTATATAGAAGATAGAAGATTGGCTTATTCAGGAGAAGGCTCTCAGACACAACTGGATAAGATTAGCTTCTTTACTGCCAACAAGAATGAAACCATATACACCCAAAAGATCTACCGTATCTACTGCAGTATGCAGAAATTAAAGCACACATATATATATATACATACTCAAGATTTTACAGTCTAGGCTTTTTTCTCCCTTTTTTCTGAATCAACAGATTCTTGCCGTTTTCTTGAGAATCTTGAAAACCACCTGGTTTTTGTTGACATTAGAGAACACTTGTCTGTAGCTCGGAACAGAATTGCCTTGTCAGCTTCATTCCTTATAACAGGGCTGCTGAATTGGGCTCTATTCCATGTCTGTTATCCAGCTCTGTTTATACAACATTCTCTAATGTAGAATAACTAATACTTCTACCTTGTTTTAGAGAAAGAGGATTTTAAGATGGCAATAATTTATTGAAGGAACAATAAATGTTACTTATTCTAATTCCATTCATAAATTTTTGATGTCAGCATTTTTTTTGTTTGAATGATGTATTCAAGAATCTTGCTGTGTTCCATAAGGGCTACTTCCTGGTAAGAGAGTTGAAAATTTCTGCATCCTTGATGAAAATACTTGGTTTTGGTAACATGGTTATAAATATTCTGTTCCTTATAGGTAAGTCACAATTATTCCTCCCTATCACTGGAAATACATACAGACCTTCCTTGTGCAGCACACACTAATGATTGCAGTTGAAGTGGTAAACCTTTTCTGAATATAGGACAGAACTGAAATGGAGAAAAAATAGTCTCCTAAACATTCATAAAAATATACAAATAATTAACTTTTACTCTCTATATTACTATCACTGGGTATGCCCCATAGGATTTCTCTTTTTGGAGTTTCATGGTTGTCAACATATTTTATTTTAGTTTGAAAATGCAAATAATGGCTCTAATGATATCATTAAGCCCATTTTTCAGAAACCCTGGAGAGCAGTTGACATAGCAGTAAAATTTAGCTTGCATATAATGGGAAGCGAGGCACTAAATCCTGAAAAAAATGTCCAGGTGTTAATTTGCTTTTGCTTTCTTTACAATACATAAGTTATTGTATATTTAATTGTAATTATTTGTGCAAAAGACTGACAATACTAGATACCAGGTACAGACTAAGCGAAATTAAATGTAACAGTACAAGACCTTTAGAAAGACAGGCTTTGTAAATCATGCTAGCACCTCTGCTTCCAGTTTAAAGAACTGTACATTTGGAAGACTCCTATCATATTTAGAAGGCTGCCCCCAGCTGTCTCTTCTGTATGTAAGCATACAGCCCCTTCCCTTCATTGATGATCCTGGCAGAAGAGTTGTTTGTGCATGCTCATGTATGCACAGACAGCTGTGAAGCAGCTGAGAAAGCATTCTAGAGAATCAGGCTATTTTAACCCTTGGAGGACAGAAGCTTTGCTTATGCTTGTCGGCTTTTCAAATAACCCATCAGGAATGCTTTGCACAAGCCTGTAAAATAATTACAGTAGTTTCTACTTATCTTTTTGTAACATTATAGACTATTTAAATGTATTGCATCATATTTCAGGAATTCTCCCATCAGATCTGGCTGGCTGGGGAATTCTGGGAGTTGAAGTTGCCTAGGTTGAGAGACACTGATCTAGAGACATCTGCTTATGTACACACTGGTAAGATACTAGATGATGGATAGCAGAGTAATTAAAAATTCTCTTAATTATCATTCTCACATATGCAAATCCTTAAAGGCAGTTCAATAAAATCAGTGAAGTAGCTTAGTTAGTTTATACAGAGCAGCATGCTCATATTTACATAGGAATTTAGGCTACCCCTGAGCTTTAGTTTTAGATATACCAAAGTAAAATATGCTACAGGTATACATGAACATGTAATATATAAAGCTTTTAAAGATGCTTTCAGATAGGCAAGCTATATTGAAAAACACTTTGGTTTGATTATAAGACATCCAACAGTTAATCTTTAATAAATTAACTACTTAAAAATACTTTCTGTACTTTGCCAGTGAAAGGTTAGAGCATGTGTTTCCATCACCATAGAAATGTGGCTGAAAATATCTTCCCCAGTGGATGTAACATTATGAGTTATGCTATTAGATCTTTTTGCTCAGGTCATTGACTGCTGAAATTGTGATGCAGAGAAATGAAGACATTGATAATGATAGCAGTTCATTCAAGAAAGTTCAATTACATCTGAGGCAGGAATCATTTAACAGAAATTATTTGGGTTAACATGAAATGGGTTAATTCATGTGGCATTTGGTGAACATGCTTCACACATTACCCAGTGGTAACACAACAGCAGTGTTTCTGAACTTTGGCAACTTTAAGATATGTGGACCTCAATTCCTAGAAGTCCCATAGCCAGCTTGCTAAGTTGTCAAGTTTCAGAAGACTGCACAGCTGAGTATACCTTCCATTGAGGTGAAGAAACTGAGAAACAGAAAAGAGTAAGCTAGCAAAGATCAAAAGGCAGTAAAATACTTCTATTGAAATGCTATTGTCTGTTATGCAATCCAATCTGGTGGTGCAAAGGCAATAGATACTATAGGAGGCAAGGATAGTAATTATAGCCCAGGTAAATATTGATATATTCCGCCAGATTTTTTTTAAAAAAAACTTATGTAGCCTCTCTTGAAAACTGAGTGTAAGCTTTGATTTAAAAGATTCATGTTAAATCAGTTTCTGTACCTTATAGTGTAAATTTCTGTAAATTTATAGCATACAGGTAGTCCTTGTTTTGTGCTCATCTTTCAACAACTGCTCAAAATTATGGCAGCACTGAATGAGGAGAACAGAACAGAATAATAGAGTTGGAAGGGACATTGGAGGTCTTCTAGTTCAACCTCCTGCTCAGACAGGAAACCCTATACCATTTCAGACAAATGGTTGTCCAATCTCTTCTTAAAAACCTTCCAGTGATGGAGTACCCACAACTTTTGGAGGCAAGTTGTTCCACTGATTAATTGTTC